TGGTACAAATTCAACAGTAGTAGTGATGTGGACCTTGATGTGGTTGACCTTTTTGGGGCGCTGCGGAAACAGAACCCGGATGTACTGAGGGAGTGACGACCTCTCGGCCTGTGCGAGAAGCGCAGTGGTCTCGTTATCGGCTAGCGGAGTGCCTTCGGGTAGGTGAGGATCGACAGCGAAGGGCTTTGCCCATCTTGTTAGACTACGCCATATATGTTTGGCAATTGCTTTGAACAACTGCATGCTGACTAGGTAGTTGGTGAGTACGGTGGGGGTTGCCTGTTCCTGAACGCGTGTTATGGGCATGGCGTCTACGCGTCACGACTTCCTGATCACGTGATCACAGTACGTTGTGAATTTGGGTGTTTTGGCTATGTCCGAGCGCCAAACAGATTTGGTGCGCGACATCCGTGGCCAACTCGAGAATTCAACTGCCCCCAGTTGACGCAGTTCTATAATGATTCTTCTCCTTCTGAAGTGTCGGTGCTATCTGAATGTTTCCTATGTCGCCGTCCGTGGCCAACTCGAGATTGTTTCTTGGTCTTATTGATACTCTTCGCTTCCATCTCTGCTTGATGGATTATATCCAGGTCATCTTCGTCGTCACTAATTTCATCTAATTCCCAATCTGAGAAGTCGATATCTGGCTGCGCTTCCCGATGCTTCTTCTGTCCAGGGAGCCTGGGTCTTCGCTGAATATAGGGCATGATTCTGAATGCTGCTTTGGCTCGTCGATCGATGGTTCCATCTAGTTCCTTTAGCACATAAGAGCCTTGCTTTGTCTGTCGATAAACTTCGTATGGTCCACTGTATCGAGGATACTGTTTCTTGTTCAGATGTTTCTCAATCCGTGTGTTCCGTACTAAGACTAGCGTTCCTGGTTGGATTGTTCCTTCTGGGAGAAATCTGCGAGCGAAGTGTTTTTCCCATCTCCACTTTGCTTGGAAGCGTGATTTCGTTATAGACATGGCGGCTTTCTGAATATCCTCAGGTCGTTTCTCTAGTTGTCGAATACGCAGAGCAAGGAGTTGTGCTGTCGGCATTTCTTGGCGGAAGCCTTCCACTAAGAACGTTGCTTCTGCCAAGTCGAAGGGAAGGACTGGGTCGACTCCATGTAGCAAGTAGAAAGGAGAGAACCCTGTTGCTCTCCGTGCAAGACATTTATCTGCGAAGAATGCGTGATGGACTTTGTCTGGCCATCGTTTGGGATCTCCTTCACATGACTTGAGTATAGCTTCGCGAATGATAAAGTGTCCTCGTTCCGCGACACCATTGGCTTTTGAATTGTATTCGGAAATTTGCACGTGGTGAATTCCATATCGCCGCATTAATACGGCAAATGCTGCGCTAAGTTCTGGACCATTGTCGGTCACAACTTGTGCGATTGCTCCATATCGACAGATAATCTGTGTCCAAAAGAAGCGGGCAACCGTCTTGGCCTTCTTATTTTTGAGAGCACGTCCCTCCGCTGCTTGAGTAAGTTCGTCTCTAGCGGTAATAATTGACTTGTATCCACGAGACTCGGGCATGTCCATGAGATCAACGTGTATCTTTGTGAAGATTGTGCTGGGAATGGATGGAGTAAGGGGAACTTCGATTTTGCGAGTGCTGCGTCTTTGACATTGGTCACAACTGCGCACATGTACTTCGATGTCTTGCCACATTCCAGGCCAATAGAATCGTGTCTTGAGTGTATGAAAGACAGAGTGAACACCACGATGTCCCCATTTCTCATGTGCTTGGTCAAGGATTTCCTGTCTTCGCCTGGGTTCCATGACTACTAGCAGTGCGCTTGCTTCTGCCTGTCTCTTGAATAGTCGTCCTGCTTTACAGAAGTACTGCAAACACTGCTTTAGGAAACGACTTTTCTCCTGTTTTGACGATAGAGGTGGAAGAGTGAGTGACTGTAGATACTCTCGTATGTCTGAAAGACGGATATCCTGTTTGGTAGGAAACACAGAAACTACATCTTGTCCGTTGTCTCTGACTGCTGTTAATACCGATTGTGATCCTTGGAACTGTTGAGCGTGGTCGTCTCGATGCTTTATTGGTGGAACGTCCCAGTCGCTATCTTCATCTGAAATAAAGTCTTCCGGATTTGGTTCTCTACGAGAGAGTGCATCGGCAGCTTTGTGGCGTTCAGCAGGGACGTGCACCAGTTTGAAGTCGAAACCATGTATCCCAGCTACCCAGCGATTCATCGCAGCGTTTGGTTGTAGATCTGGTTCATTGAGCATTCCTTTGATGTACTGAGCATCGACTTCGACTTGAAGGTTCTTGACACCAGTGAGGTACAACCGATAGTGGCGCAATGCACGGTAGAGTCCGTACAACTCTAATTTGGCTTGGCTGTAACGTGCTTCTCTCTCGTTCATAGGGATTGATCCATAGCGGGCAGGTCGGCGTTTCCCAGTGTCATCTTCTTGCATAAGGACAAATCCTACTGCAATAATGCTAGAGTCCACTGCAAAGATCACGAGTCTGTCTGACGAGTAGTCGATAGGTTGGAGTGCTGGTGGCGATGATATTAATTTCTTAAGAGCCTCGAATGATTCTTGTCTTCGGTCATCCCATTCGAATGGAGTGTCTTTCCGCACTAGTTCTGTTAAAGGTCTGGCAATCTGCGAATAGTTGCGAATCCATATTCGCACGGTCCCGCACAGTCCTAGAAAGCCACGAACATCTTTGACCGTTTTTAGGGTAGGCCACGATTGGATCTTATCGATCTTAGATAGCTCCGGTAGTCGTCCTGTGGCGGTACACCGCTGTCCCACTATAATTGCTTCTGGGCGCCCGATCTGAAACTTCTTTCCTGAAAAGGTACCACCAGCGTGGCCAATGCGATGCAGAATCCTGTGAACGTCCTGTGCGTGTTCCCAAACAAAGCGACGTATTCCGGGGTTCTCTGTGATACATTCTGGTTCTCCATCTAGATTAGGATACATTGACTTTGCTCCGGCAATGGGTAGATCATCGATGAAGATGTTGGCTTGCGGCATTTCAGGGGCAAGGATGAAGCTCATGCATGCTTGGAATTCTGCAGGGGAATTTGTATATCCTTGAGGCATAACGGTGATTCGCAAGAGTCCGATTGGAGTCATGAATGATGTAAGGTCTCGGCTTGTTGGATGGACTTTCCGAGCATCGAATCCACTGAAGAGGTCACCGACGGTATAAATAACAGAACCTGCAAATGGTTCAACAAACTCGTCCAGGTTTGGCGGTGTTCCAGCGGTCCGAATAGACACTGCATTGAGAGGCATGAGGTTGTGCACGATGCGCAACCTGCCATCCTTTTTCTTGACACAGAACCATCTCGACCTATATGACGCTTGACTTGGTTCATAGACTCCTGCGGCGATTTTATCCTTTAATATCTTGATGACCTCCTCACGATGTCCGGGAGGAATCGGAATATTCGACTGTTCCCAAGGCTTGTGATCGATAGTTGGGTATATGAAGGGAGTAAAATAGTCGTCTCTAAAGGTTCCTCGTTCTGCATCTTCGAATGCCAGTGCCTTCTCATTTAGTTTGATAATATGTAGGAACAGCTTCTCCTCTTCTGGCCATAGGAATTTGTCGATGTTGATCTTCATAATTTCTATGCGCTCTTTTGTGAGCTTGCGTGTGGGCTCAAAGTCCGGGGGGTTTGGTGACAGCATGGGTAATGAGATCAAAGGGTCCTCTGGTAGGCGTCGCTCCACTCGAGCGTCTTCAGGATATACTCCTGGTACAGGGCGTACACGTTTGTCCACGGTTTTATACATTCCAAACACATGTCCGATGTGAGATTCTTCTTCGTCTAATATTCTCCTAATTTCTTTGGGCTCTGGCGTGTTTTCGTGCGGCCAGATCCAGTGTTGTTCATTATCCGATTCCTCTTGATTATATGGTACGTCTCTCTCTGCTTCATCGCAAGCAGCAGACTCAAGAGGACTTGGATGCGCGTGATGAGGAATAGATCCGTCGAGTCGAGGTAAGAGTTCCGGGGCATCAGTTATCGTATACGGTAACGCCCTATTAAGTACAATACAATAAGTCAAAACTTTGTTTATAGTATACACAAGAAAGGAAAGAAGGACGCATGGGATAGAATTAGCGAAAGGGTCCGTAGGTTTGGAAGCGATTGCCCGAGTGACAAATCGAAGAAGTCAAACAGTGGAAAGCATAAAGTTGAAACAAAAGCGAAGAGGCGGTCGGTATTTCATAGATCGGCGAATGCCTGCGACTGGAGAGTATGATCTCGCGGTTAACAATTCAAGAGGACAAGAAAGGAATGAACGCATCAAGAAAGGAATACTATTACAAGGCGGGCGATGAAGCAAAAATGGAAGCAATGGACGTCGATGGAATGCGCCTAGAGATCGTCGGAATCGGCTCGGCGATGCTGAGGGATGAGGCCATGCATTTGGCAACGGCGGACCGTCTCCCAGACGTCGTTCTGAAACGACTCGAGGGACTCCTGGATCTTCTTAATCGAATTCCGTACGGCGGTCGTTCCGCGTCGCGCGTTGACCGAGTGTTCCAGCAAGAGCGATTCGACGTGCTCGAGACGTTCCAGGAAGGCGTCGAACTGTTCTTCAGTCATGGGTGAAGCGTCGGGATGATCGGACATAACGTCCTCCTGATGGTACGCATGTACAGGTGGTCCTCCCGTCCGTCGAGCGAAAGAGGGCCGTCGGATAGACGGGCCCGGCGATGATGCTGGTCGCTGCGTCGGTGAGTAGGAGCGCGAGCGTGAAGGTCGATATCCGCTTGTCGAAGGGTCGGACGGCCCGGACATGGCCGCTCCGCAGAAGTACGACGTAGGCGACGAGCGTAGTTGCTACGATAGACGAGATGTCGGC